TTAGTTAAAAGGTTCATTAGCATCGCTTTTTACTCTGATTTAATTTGAATCACATCTTCTCATTGAACGAATGCATTTTGTTTTGCTTTTGCTAATTGACTTTTCACTACTATTTTGTTGCCATTAATTTACCTTGAAGCAAAGACTTGCCACTCTTATTGCCATTCATCTTTAATTTATAATAATCACATTAGAGTTCCAAACCAAGACCACAAAGGAGTTGAACCCGTTTTAAGTCATCTCATCATGAATCTGAAAATGGTAAATATTATAATGTAATTGTAATGATGAAAGAAAAAGCTTGAGGTGAAAAAAAGAAACAAAAGTAGAGCAAAAAATTGCATTTCTTTTTTTACTTTTTGTGTTACCTCGAAATGAACTCAATTGGAATACCATGTTAATCTTATTACTGTTCAATTCGATAATAATTATTACAGCCTTAACAATCTTTTCTGTCTCTTTTTGTCCGCTATTCCTGGGTTCAGTCAATATTGCGACAAATGTGAAGCAATGAAAAGTGTAAAGCAAATTCAATTTTTAAGTAAATTGAATTGAACAAAAAGTGAATTTACAGGTAAACAAAGTTGCCCTGCAAAGGATTTTAATCAACTTCTGATAATTGGAACAAAAGGAAAGGAAATATTTTTCAATTCAAAGTCAACCTTCAATAATGAAATTATTCAATGGAAAATGAAAAGTTGACAGACAAATATTTAGCCAATTAAAGATGAATTTGTAAATTCAGCGAAATTCAAGTTTTGGTGAACATTTTTGCCCAAAGAAAATTGCTCTTTTCATTCAATCAAATTTGCTGGTAAATTGTTTAATTAAGGTAAATAAGTTGTGTTTAAATCATTTGGTTGAATGAGAAGAAAGAGATTTGACAAATTTAAATAACATCAATATTTATTCATCATTCAAATTCAATTGGATGCATCAAGAAAAGGCAAAAGTTTATCAAGAGAAAGAAAAGAATGAAAAAGGAAAAATGATAAGCATTACAAGAACTTTGAAAGAGTGAAAAATGATGAACTGAATACGGAAAAGGATAAAGGTTAAGGTTGCATGATATAACAAGATCAAGAGTGGAAAACCGCAGCAATGGAATGAACAGAGTTGAACATATTAAAAACAAAAAGGATGAGGCAAAATGTTTGTGAAAAGAGATGAACAGGGATAACAGTTTGTTAATGTATATATCAGAGGATCAACATGTCAACCTTGTTTCAGTGGTAAGCTTTGTTTCAAGAAAATGCTCTTTTCTTTATTTTTGCTTGTAAATATATTTTGAAATGGTATTTCAAGATGAAACACACAACACACATTCTCGATGTTTGGGTAAAGAGACGAGAAAAGATGGTCAAAGATTAAAAACCTGAGAAAATCTTGAGCTCAAAACTCGATTGAGTGTCGACATTTTGAAAGGAATAAAGACGAATTTTCTAAAGATTTTCAAGGATTTATTAACTATTATCATTGTTGGAGTGATGAAAAAGGCGAGAAAAAAACGAGTTGGACATTAAAGACAAAAAATAGTACAAACAAAAATTATATTCATACACATTTACATGTTGATAAGCAATTCAACTTTATGGCTCTTCAGTTTTCAGTTACATTTGGTTTTGGGTTAGGGTTCAACGACGTGCTTATAATTTGTTCATCCTTACTTTCACTAAAATTCAAATCGACTTCAAGATCCAGTAATAGTTCATTTCGGGCACAAATTTTAGCATCACATTCGAAGATTATGCCATTCAGATCACATAAAGAGGAAACGTTTCGTTACTGTTACTGTCACTTTTGATGGCTACAGTTTTACGGGTAAACATACGGACATTGAAGTTAGATCCAAGCTATGAAGAGGGTTCACACACAGTACATAATATCACTAGTCTGGGAAGTCACTAGACGAGGAAAAAAGTAAAGTTCAGTTGTTTTTAAACTGCCTACATTTGGAGATGAAAATTAATCAAAATATCGATTACGATTTAGATTTCGATTTGATTTTGTTTGAATATTCATGTTAAACATTGTATTAAATTTACGAATGAAAATAGTTTTTGATATGAAAATTTCTTTTATAAATATGCATGTTCGTCTAAACTTATGGTAATGTTGAAATTTTGTTAACACTTTTAGCTGAAAGTTTTTCTTTTCTCAACATTTTTCTTGATTCAATTCTTGTATTCTGTCATGTTTTACCATCTCAAACTCATGGTGAACCATAAAAATTTATTTCCACTGATAACATTTTCCTTTTCATTTCAACTTCAACTCAAAACTGGGAGTGTAAAAATATCTAACCCAAAAGTGTTAAAAAACAGAATAACACGGAATACAAGAAAAATTAGAATGTGATTGACATGGGCTAAGTTATTATCGTATCATCATGAGACTGCCAATCAAATGAGATTTTTATTTTCTCTCTATTCTTTCATCCATTGCTTGTTCACTTTTATTCAGGTTCATCTCATCTTTCATGGAACAACACTTTTTGTTCTCAAAAATCACTCCAAGTTGTACTTTTTGTTTCTTTTGTTTTCAAACAACAACCTGAAAACCTTTTCTCTCTTCATGATAACCTCACCAACAAAACAAAAAGCAAGACAAAGATCAACATTTAATGTCAGTCCTTCAACAGTCAACTTTGATCACAGTTTAACACATGATATGATAATGATAATTGCGATTAAATACAAGTTTCTAAACCTTAAAATGTAATGAATCGAAGCAACAAAAGAAGAAAAATTTGACAATTTTAATGATTGATTCAAAGTGTAAGAATTTTCCTTTACTCTCATTGATTCAGTTGTCAGATAAAACCAAGCTGAATTGGCTTTATAATGCAATTATTTATCATTCCCTGATCGTTTCAGATTTGTAATTCCGTTTCTTTTATTCTCTTTGTTGCTTCAAACAGCCAAATCTTATTGGAAAAAGCTGAAAGCTCATTGTTCATCTCAAGAGAAACAAGAATCTAAGAAGAAGATGAAAACAGTCAAAGATTTCCTTCTTCCGGATCCTAATATGGACACCTTAACAGGTTCACAGACAAATGCTCAAAGATGATAATAAACTTTGATAATTTTGTCGTAATCTATTTACGCATTTCAACCTTGTTAACATTCAATAAGTTCACAGGTGAACTAAACTCTTGTTTTCCCAAAAATGAGATTAACTTGAAATCTCAATCTTTTCATTTTTCATTTTGGTTTTTGTATTGCAATTAAACATTTGTTGCCTTTTGCTGCTTCATCATTTTGCTGCTTTGAAGGAATGACAAAAAGAGTTTGTTTTTTGCTCTTTTCAAGAGCAACTCTTGAAATTTTCATGTAAAGTTTCAATGGTTTTAAGCTTTCATTTGAAATTTTTATGAAGTAAATCATCAGCATCCAAATTCAGTGTTTTCATAATCCTTTAATCAAATCCTTTTCTCAGCAGGATATATTAATACATTAAAAGTGCAGAGAGTTGAAAGTTTAATGCTTTAATGCAAAAACAACATTCCCAAACTTTCAGTCTCGAACTTAATCTCAATGCTACATTCAAGAGTCAGTCTTTTCCTAACAATTTAATGGTTTATTTTTAATCGACAATTAGCATTGCAACAAAATATCAGATTAGGTAAACTGTAATTGAAACGATCGATATTGTAATGAGTAGAAAGCGCATGAAAATTCCAAACTCAATGATAAACGAAGAAATCATTTCTCTAATAAACTCAAAATTTTGTCTCAATTTTATACTCAACACTCGAAGAAAAGCAAAAATTGCGGAGAAATGAGAAAAAATTTCATTTTCGAGTGAAATAGCCTCCGTAAAGAATTTTGCAAAATTTTTGGATCGAAAATCGATTTTCTAATTTTCCAAAATTCTTTGCAAAAATAGATCAAAAAAGACCTCAAAATATCGTTTTCTCGAGTTTCATTCTGAGATTTCTTTTCATTACTTGAAGTTGAAAATCGGCGAAAAAATTACTTTTGAAAAAATCGATCGCGTAAAATGAATGCTCATAAAATGTACAAAACCACAAACTGAGCAAAGACATTGAACGGTAAAATACCTGAGAATATTTCATTCTGAATTATTCAATCGGGAAATTGTTCATCGATTGATAAGCAACAATTAAGTTGCATCAATTTTTATGGTCATTCGGATGATTTCATGTTACTGATTTTACTTTATAATCGCTTCTCTCGAAGTTATAAAATTGAAAAATATGACAACGTGATTGACTTTAGTTTTTGACCTTTTGCATGACGAAGTTGGTTGTAAAATTGTTTTGACTCTGAGTGACTTTATAATGAGCAAATCGAATCCAATGTTGAACTTCTTTGTACTTCGTTGTAATGCCTAGTCTTGAAAAGCCACTAATGTCATTCGTGAGGTTTGTTTATTCAACAGTAAATGGTCATTAATGAAATTTTTACTTGAGTATTTAAGTCACGTTAATATCTCATTTATCATGACCTTCATTGGTTTTGATTGATTTTCTGTTTCATTCTTGTTCATCATGTTTTTACTCTTTTCTTCTTTAACCGTTCATCATGAAATAATGAACAAGAAGAAGGGAAGAAAGACAATGGAGCAAAAACTGTGTGAATTGAAAGGCAAAAGTCAAGGAATGAAGGTGAAGCTTTACAGAATAAAGAATAACAGAGAAAAAGAAAAAAAGAGTTTCACAGCCATGATCAACATGATAATTAGCGGGTTCAACTAATTAATGAAATGATTAGTTCTGTCATCAACAATGTTTGCAAATGAAATCAAAAGATATTCAAAGTCAATGGTTAAGTAGAGAGCAAATTTGCATGAAAAGAAACAGAAGAGAACCACAAAATGAAGATAAAAAAGTAAAGTTTTGCACAAAATGAACGGAAAAAGGGCTCATCAAGCTGATGATGATGTTCAAAGTTTTCCTGAAGAATTGGAAAAATCACAGAAAAACAAATTTTTTGTTCTTCCTTTAAAAAAATAGTTTAATTTTCAAATGAACAAACCTTTTGTCTCCTTTAATTCCAATGATAATCCTTTTCGTCAGATGCACCTCCTGTTGTTGATGATGCCCATGATGTTTAACCACTAATTACACCACAACTGGAACAGGCAAAAGATTCCTTTGTTTTTGCATAATTTGGGAAACTCTGTGATTCCAAGTAAATAATGAAAAGAAATACAAATATTTAAATTATTCGCAATTGAAAGGCAATCCCAAGCAACTTATTATCATGCAAAATACACTTTAATACTCTTTTCTTCTGATAGTCATCATCATTTGAAGAAGTTTCAAGAAAAGCTTTTACATTGAAATGAACATTTGGTAGAAACTGTTCTTAGGTTTTCACAAAATTTTAACTGAAAGAATCTTCAAATTCTTGAAATTTCAATAATCAATATTTCTTTAAAATTTCACCTTTTCTCAATTAACTGGGAATGAATTATCTTCAGCTAAACATTTATTCTCATGATGATTTATTCGCCAAATTTTTCGTCTAAACTCAGGTTAACCTTTCTAAATGTTAACATTTTTTCAATTACAACTCCAACGCATTTTTGATAACGAGACTTGATAACATTTTATATATTCATGAGAATGTCATTTACGCTTTGCTTCACTTTTCATACGATAAAAGTCGAGTTTCATTCAGAACTTGCTTGAACTCTCAACTTTTCTCAATTTTATTCAGTAAATTTTTCGCCAAAATTTACCTTTTAAACGTTGAATAAATTATCGTTTCTACAATAAAACGGTGAATCAATCAAAGTGTCATGAGAAGAAAATTTTTCTCCAAAATTTTCAACATCAATTAGCTTTGTATTTCAACGGCAAAAATTGACTCAAAGTTGGACAGAATTTTGGAAGAGAAAAAAAGTTCTGTTATCAGCAATAACTGTCATGTTTCTGACCGCAGCAAGTGAAGCCTCTCGAATCATCAATCAAACATTGAGCATTCAATTCATTGTCAGAATGAGTTACAAGAACATCTTTTTATCTCGTCATGAGAGCTCTTGATATGCATTTTGATTTCCAATGCATGATAATGTGAAAATAACTGCTCAGGGTGTGAACTTTTCATCTCTTCTAAACCAATGACCTAAAATTGATAAATAATAAGTTCAATGAGTTGCAACTTTCAATTCGACTTTTCATTCTTATCACTTGAATCTCATAAAAATACTTTCATTTACTCTTCTCCAAACAGAATCAAAAATTGACCCAAAGAAAAGATTCGCAACGAAATCGATAAAATTGTTAAAAAGAGTTTCGATTCAATATCCTGAGAAAATGAAAGTTGAAAAAGTTTTGAATTTTGACCATTGAATGCAACGAACAGAAATTTTCGATTTTCTACAAAATTGATTATAAAGTAATTACTAGTTATCATTGATAGCATTGGACTCACAGGGAGTGATGATAACGTTAATGATGGCAGAAACTGTGCATAATGGTTAATGATTGGAAAACCATAATTTGTGGTTTGTTAATATCTAAATGTTGTTTGCTTTCCAGGATGATTATCATGCAAATGGAAATCAAAGGCAATTGTAATTGATGGAAGAGAGGAAAGGGGCGAAATCTGGTTAACCAGAGAAGAGGAAAGGTTAACAATTTTTCATGATAAATGATAATTTATTGTTAATTAACATTGTAACAATGGAGTAAAATGTAGAGACGAAATATATCAATTCGTTTCATTATTTAACACTGGATTCAATCTCATCTTCCAACATCATTATCATCATCTCTTCAGAATGTGTTGATGTCTTTCTATAATCATCGTCTTCTTCTGGTTATATTCCATGGAAAATTCATTCATCACGATATTTCACATCATTAACCTAACCAACAATCTTTTATCAACTTTTTGGCCTCAATTCCAATAGAATGTTTCAAAGGATAATGATGAGCATGATGGTGATTCCAATCATGAGTCTGGAGGAAACCAGGAAAAGACGAATCTCGAAATGGCCTTTTCTTCATCATCATCATTTACTATTTTTACACCTTTTAACTTTTCTTTTCTTTTCTCTCTTTTTTTCTTCCTCTTCCATTGTCCTAAAATTTTTGATTAATGATAAATTTTGTGTCGACAACAAATCAAATCACAAAATCAAATGAATGAATGAAGTAAAATCATGCAAACTTGCAACCCAAAAACATCACACAATAAAGTTAATGAACAAGTGAAAGTCCAACAACTTTTTTTTCTCTCAACATTTTCTTTTTAATCATTTTCTCATTTCAAACATTCGCGTTTCAATTTCATGCTCATGTCATAAGAGTAAATCATTTCTCAAAAATCATGTCATTCATTGGAAAATGTAATGTTCGATGGAAAGGATTTTCCTTTTTTTACTATTTTCACTCCCAGTTTTAAGTGCAATGTTGTTAGGATAACTGTGATGACTGATCAATTCCTGGTTATTTGATTATCTCTGGTTATCTTGAAACATGACATTTTGATCATGTTTGCGTTAGAAAGTAAATTCAATTTAGAGGCAACAGAAAAAAAGATAAATTTACTCCCAGAAAAACGATTAATCTGCAAATTTCAAGCCTTTCTCATTTCTTACGATTCAGTTACAGTCTAAATATTTGGATGAAACTGACACATTTAGTTACAACAAATTTCGTAATTTTCTTCGAAAAAAACTTTGAAAAATATTTTTCCAAATCATTTGATTCGTTAATTCACTCTTAAAGGAATCACTGATTTCACCATGAAATTTTCCCCTTTACTCATCTAAATTCTCAAAGATTTCTGAGATTTCAAGAATTTTTCTGCTTCTTTGAAGTTGAGGTCATAATAAACTCTTTGAATGAAAATTGAAATTTTTCCTAAAAAACCTTTCATTCGGTTAAAGCTCAAAAATTTTCATTAATCTCTTCGGAACTATCGAACGAGTTTCAGAACTATTCAATTCTCAAAAACTATGAACTGAGATTTTTCCAAAAAATTGTCTTTGTCTCTGTAATTCGAAGTCATAATAAACTTTTACTCTTTGGATTGAAATTGAGATTTTCAAGAAAATATTTCATTCGATTAAACTCAAAAATTTTCATTTTTTCAAAACTATCAAATCGGATGTTTATTAATTGATTTTCAGAATTATTCGGATCAAAGAATAGTTCAGAAGTTCAGAAGTTAGAATGTTTCATGAAGAAATGAAAATCTACAGGAAAAGTCGAAAAACTGAGAAGGCAAAAAAAAAGATTCGAATGATAATTAGATTGAAAGGAATAAAGAATATCTTTGAATCTAATCTGATTAAATCATATGTTGAATGAAAAGTCTAATCAAAGAGTTAATCTTGTTTCATGTTTTGTGTTATGTCCCACTCTTGAAATTTTATATTTCTTCCATCAACCCATCACCGATCACCGATCAATCGCACATCAGCCTATCACCCCATCAGTCTTCCATCCATCACTACCTAATTAATTAATTCATATAATTGTAATACTTAATTCAAATCTTCTTCTTAGATTCACAATTTTCCGTTGAGATAATTACTTATCTTTGCGACTTTCACATTCTTTGCTTAATCCAATAAGCTACTTTATTGCACCAATCTCTTCTCCTTAACTTGCCCTCAGGCTATGACCACTTGACTTCATTTCCGTCCGTTGTATTCCTTTACACATTTGTACACCATATGTCACTTCCTAATTTTCCCTATTTAAACCCGAACTGACCAAACATAAGTCAGAGTCCACTGTCACTTTCAGAGCTCACTTTCAGAGTTTCACTAATCTTCAACCCGTAAACATTAGTTTTTGATTTCAATTAAACTTTACTTTTTGCTTTACACTAAGTTTACACTTGTGTTGTGTTTCCAACCTTTCATTTCTTTTGATTATTTTATTTTCTTGATTTTGGGACACAACATTCTGGCGCAGTCGACAGGATGTCTGTTAAAATAAAATTTAATTTTGTGCGTACTGATGAAGGAGTTGTTTTACAAAGGTATCAACTACCGAATTCATCAGAGTGGACTCTCCTTGATGAGGAACATCAAGCACTGAACAATCATCAAGTTATTTTAGATAAAAGTGCAGTAGCTACAGCCATCGAAAATCTTGTTAGAACAAGAACCATTTGTGTTACCTTGACTAATGAGCAAGCAGTGCCTTACGTGGACAATGTGTTTGGTGATACCAGCGAGGTTGACGAATCTCCAAGTGTTTCTAATTCAACGCCAACAATGGAATCATCTTTAATGGTTACTGTGACGGAAATGCTCCGTGCTCAACAAGAAGCTTTTAATGCTACAATTAATTGTTTAAAAGAATCTTTCATGCCGCTTACTAAAAGAGTGCAAAAATTGGACATTCCACTTTTTGATGGAAAAACTGAAGATGCCAAGACGTGGATGATCACCTACGAGAAGTTATGTGCTCACAATGGTTGGTCAACAGACGCATCAAAAATTAATGGTTTAAAGGCGAACTTAGATGGAAACGCATCGAAATGGTACAACTCAATGGTAAGAGATGGTGTTCCAGAAGATTGGTTAGTTTGGAAAGAATCCTTTCTGTGCTCATTTGGACAAAATCGAATTGCCACAGCTTTAGCAGCAGATAGATGGGAATACCGTGGAGGATCTCTCATGGACTACTACTATGAAAAGCAAAGATTGATACAAGTCGCGCACCCTAATCTAGACGAAGACACTTTTGTTACCCGTGTTATGATGGGACTTCCAGAGGAACTTCAAAATCAACTATTGGCCAAAGACATTGCAGATAGACAGCAGCTTAGGTCATCTTTGGAAAAACTGAAGCCCTTGAAAGTCAACAAACCATTTCATTTAAAAGGTAAGAATGAAAAGTCTTTTTCTGATCATAAGGTTAGCAAGCAACGCGATGGTCGATCGAACCACAATCTTTATGTTTCTGATAACCCAGAGTCTTTATCGATCCAATCTCCCCATCACCCATCATCCATCAATCAATCACCATCAACCATCAGTCCATCATCGACAACCCATCAGCCAATACCATCATTACATTTAAGTAGTCCTTCAGTTAGTGTTAGCTTGCCTTTAATGAAGCAACCCATCGACCCTAAGTGTGAAGCCATTATCAGTGGTACAATTAACTCATGTTTGCTGGATACAGGTTCTGACTTTAATTTTATTA